TCCTTTACTTTGATAAAAATTATATTGTAACCCTCTCCGAATCTGAAATACATAGTGTTATCGTGCACCTCTTCTTTTAGATTTTATATATATTTATATTTGGTTTTTTCTTTGCAAAATAATGTCTATGCTAATGTAACCCCCCTCACCTCAAAAATGAAGCATTCATTTTGTAAAGGAAAAGGACAAGATCGATAATGACCTCATTTTAACCCTTGGTTTAAGGTGTCTTTTAGAATGATGCAACTTGTCTATCAAACAAATCATGTCATCCTTGCTACAAAGTGAGCATTATTTCCAAGTTATGGAATACAAAGAGCTTTACAGGAAGGTTAGAAAATATGTCATTTTCCGAAATTTCTCATTTTTATCCAATTTTTAAGGATTTTACGGGACATTTTGTTTCAGAAATCGTAGAGCAAAAACCTGTCTATCGACCAAATTTATAAATTCATACACTAGTATTAGACGCAACTTGTTTATAAGAAATCTCAGATAAGTAAGCTTGTGCTTTTAGTTTCCCGAAGTGAAAGATTTCTCAAACTTGACAAAATTAATCCAGAATTGAGAAAAGGACAAGATAGGCTAAGACTTATCTAGCCACTGATATAGGGTGTCTTTTAGAATGACATAACAGTTTATAAATGAAAACCTGTTATCACCTCTGCCACAAAATGAATATTGGTTCTAAGTTGTGGGATACACAGAGGTCAAGGAGAGGTAAAAAATATGAAAATTTTCGAATTTTTTTATTTTAATGCAAAATTTCAGTGATTTTACAGCACATTTTGTTTCAGAAAACAGAGCGCACGCTTGCCTATCTACCAAATTTATATACTTCGTACACTAGTATCAGATGCATTTTATGTATAAAAAATCTCAGATATTCAAGCTTGTATGTTATGTTTTCCGAAGAGAACAGTATCTTCAATATGACGAAATTCCACCAGAATTTAGGAAATTCGGGAAAACGTTTTACTTCTGCACTCTCTTGTGACCTCCATGTAAGCTTTGAATTAAAATTAGTGCTGGTTTTAAAACAATATATGTTAATTATATAATGACGAGGAATATAGATGCATTTGCATTATACATTTAAGAAAGGATGGTATCATAGTGTGCGTTAAGTGCTCTCCGTAGGTCTTACTCAAGCATTTGGCTTTACAAGAAATTACAGCAGAAATGAAATATGAATATAACGAACATAAATCATGTTCCAAATGCAACTGAAGCAGTCAAATTAGAAGCATAGAAAACTACATGCATTGGAAGTTGGAGTTGGTACCATAAAGGAGTAAGAATTCCCTGTCGACCGGTCACACTGAAGTGTGATTGTTGTCATGACATAGAAATAGAAAAATTCATCAAATTAAACTTAAGAATAGATTTTAGTCACTTTCAACGAGACTGTTGCTATCCTTTATAAACTCATTTGACAGTAGCTTGTACCATTTCAGAAATCGTTCATAAGCAAAACATCTCATAAATGATTAATATAAAAATGTGCTTTCTTTGCTTTTATGTTGCTTAATTTTTTGTAATGTATCTTGGGAGTTGCTAAAAGGAAAAGTGCATAACTATCCAATATGAAGTTTTCTTTGAATTAATGAAACTATAAATAAGTTTATCAAAACAATTATTTGTGCTTCATGTATCAATATACAGTTAAAGTATATCATTGAGGGAGTTAGTAAGAGTCCAGTTCCGCAAGACCAGGACTATTTACCGAGGCGCAGCGCGCCTCGGGAAATAGTTCTGGTCTTGGGGAACTGGAATCTTGCTAACTCCCTCAATGATACACTTTTTAACTGTTTTATTATACCGATACAAATAGAGGATTACGAATGGCGGGGAATGACTGTAGCTTCAAGACTAACGCACGAGGAATTAGCTTTAGTCCATTAACATATTAGACCGACACAAAAGTAAAATCTAGAGGATTACGGATAACCGGGGAATTAGTTTCCGAAGCAGGGATTAGCTCATTTAACTAACGCACAGGGAATAAGTCCACTCACTGAGATTTCTAGGGAATTATTCACATTTTACTGCCTTACTTTTATATAGGAAAAAATCAATATAGGTATAATAAAAGTTTTAATTCCATCGTAATAAAGTTATTCCTTTTGTTAAACATTTGAAAATGTTTTGTAAGGTTTTATCTCTCCCAATTTTAATGATTGTTCTTAAATTTAAAATTCATGAAATACATTTCGTTTTCACAGATACCTATTACACCAGTTGTAGACAAGACCATAACTTTCAAGGTATTTATAAATATTTTGTTAATATACTTTAAGTTTTTGTATTTTCTTTTAATAACTAGAACAAATAAAATATATTTATTTCATTTAGAGATTATGAAAACCTACCTTACTAATCTACCTTTCCATCAAACTGGTACAACCATACAGTGCCAGACTCGTAATAAAGGTGGGTTCTCTGTTTCTTTAGGCATCGAAATATAATTGGAAATTGCTTTTTGTGGATTTAGATTAAATTTTAAATGAAGAAAATAACTGTAAACGACTCAGGCAATTTATTTGTTGTATTTTATTCTTTTTTTCGTGTTTTATTGGATTTGATTTTTTTTTATTGGCATATTAGTGACTATAAGCTTTCTGAATAATGTTAAGTAGAAATGTTTATTTTTTTTTTAAATTCTTACTCAATCATATTGTTTTTTTTTTCAGTCTGGGAAGATCTTCGCCGCGTGAGCAATATGAACACCCAATGCTTAGACGATTTTATCTCTCATATGCACGGTATTAATAACATATAATAATTAACTTAATAAAAGAGAGAAATACATGTATACCTATTCATACCGCACAATCAGTCTCAATTTTGATTGCAGTTAATTTTACTGGGGCACGTCTAATTTTGTGAAACTGTACAAACAAGAAATACATAACATAACTATTTATCAAAGAATCAATAACGTTACACCCAAATGTTAATATTCAAAACAGTAATACTATTTCCGTTGGGTTTTAATGTAAGATATAATTTTAATAAGATTTATTTTAGGTGCTTATGTGCATAATCATGACCCAAACTGCTATCAGGCCTGCCAAAGTTCTACCCAGGGTAAATATTTATATATTATTCCTTTGAAAATGTATAAATCAGAAATTTGAAAAATATTTTTCTTGCAAAACGGATTACTATGGATTAAATTGATTTTATTGTATGTGGGTTTTTTTTGAGTTTGTAGGCCTATTTTTTTTTGTCGGAAAATGGAGAATTCAAATTTGATGTCATTTTTAAAAGAGATTATCTTGAAAGTTAACTTGATTTCAAGAAACATTTAAGATTAGATTTGGATTCATTAATAGAAAATTTTATCTGGTACAGAATGAATTTACAACGATTACATAATTCTTGTATTTCCGTATTCCTCATTTCTTTGCATTTCAATTTGACTGACATATCGTCAAATCGTCGTAAACATCTCTCACATCAAGCATCCTTTTGGGTTAAGGGTTTTGTTAATCTTTTTAATTAATTTTACTACCAAATACAGTTCAATAATAAATATTTAATTAATTTTGATATTCTATGATTTATTTTAAGCTTTTATCTTTTCACAGAATATTTCACTTCCTGATATAATTTCCTGTGTATTTATCTATTTTATAAATGTTCTATTTTAAGTAACGCATCCCCAAAACCACGAACTCTCAAAGCAAGAACGTAAGTAACAGTATACTTTTAGCTCTACTGATCAGAGACCAGAAGAACTTATGCGATAGTAATGCGTCCATCGTCCGTCCGTCCGTCTGTCTGTCTGTCTGTCTGTCTGTAAACAATTTTTCAAAATGCTACTCCTCCTACAGTTTTGGTCTGATTTCAATATAACTTGGCACACAAGTAGACTACACCAAGATACATAATTCTGTGTATCGGTTTTTGATTTCGATGAATGGTGTTGCCGTGGTAACTAAAAATAGAAATTTCTGTTAAATACTCTCAAAATGCTACTCCTCCTACAGTTTTGGTCTAATTTCAATATAATATAACTTGGCACGCAAGTAGACTACACCAAGATACATAATTCTGTTTATCGGTTTTTGATTTCGATGAACGGTGTTGCCGTGGTTACTAAAAATAGAAATTTCTGTGAAAATCTTTCAAAATGCTACTCCTCCTACAGTTTTGGTCTGATTTCAATATAACTTGGCACACAAGTAGACTACACTAAGATACATAATTCTGTGTATCGGTTTTTGATTTCGATGAACGGTGTTGCTGTGGTTACTAAAAATAGAAATTTCTGTGAAATTCTTTCAAAATGCTACACCTCCTACAGTTTTGGTCTTATTTCAATATAATTTGGCACACAAGTAGACTACACTAAGGTTCATAATTCTGTCTATCAGTTTTTCACTTCATTGAACAGTGTTGCCACGGTTACTAAAAATAGAAATTTCTGTTAAATACTCTCAAAATGCTACTCCAAATACAGTTTTAGTCTGCTTATAATATAATGTGGCATGCAAGTAGACTACACTAAGAACATAAAGAGACTTAATCAAGGATCATTATTCTATTTATTGCTGTTGAAAAGTTTCAATTCCCAACTGCTTAAGTACTTGTACTTTTCTCTTTTTTTGCTATAAGTACAAACCAGTAGAGCTTCAGTCTCGACAGAGACTTCTGGATGTATTCATTACTGAAAAAAATGTCATTTATGTTATCACAAGCTAAATTTCCTCCTGTTCTAACAAATACTTAAAACTTGGCAGAGCTAGATCACAGAAATATTGAATTTAAGTATGTAGTATCCGAAAATACTAAAGCGTAATACTATACAAAGAACAAAAATATTTATTACTGGAGGAAAAAAACTCCAACTATTCAAATAGTAAAACTTCTTATACACATATTATGAAATTATTTTTCCGAGTGAAATTTAAGAGTTCGAAATATTTTTTTGAAAAGTATCAAAAATTTGTTTGTGGAGTTTGGTTTTTCTTTAAAATTAATTCTTTTCAGAATACGAGGCTTATAGGAATGGAGAATGTCTAAGTGAACACACGGGTATGTATTGTTTGCGTTTGGTCTTACATGAATTACCTTTTGATTGAATTCTTTTATTGCAGTTATGATGATAAGGTTTCCATCAATCTGTTGTAATTATCATGGGTACCAATTGCGCCCCGTTATTAGCAGACCTTTTTTGTATTCATATGAAGTAGAATTTGCGCAATTCTTCTGTGTGAAAAGAAGAAAACACTTGCTGTAGCCTTCAACTCCTTCAACTCGATATGTAGATATATCGACGACGTATTGTCAATTAACGATTGTAATTTCCATTCTTGTTATGTCCATACGATTTATTTTGGTGAGCTTGAGGTAAAAGATATTACAGAGTCTGACACATTCATTTCTTATTTGGATATTTTATTTGAAAAAGACGTTAATGGAAATTTAACAACCAAGCTCTATAATAAATGTGATGACTTTAACTTTTCTAAAGTCAATTTCCCTTACTTATGCAGCAATATACCTTCATTACCTATATACGTAGTTCATATCTTTCAGTTGATTCAATACACAAGAGCATGAACAATTTCAAAAATAACGAAGTAAATTATTGACAAAGAAATTGATGAACCAAGAATATCAACAGGCTCGTTTAAAGTTATCATTTCGTAAGTTCTATGGTTGATTCAATGAACTTTTCAGTCAATACAATTCGTTATTGAGTCAAATGCTGACTGACTTTTTATACTAATTGTTCGTCTAATATTTATACAAAGAATTTTCCGTTATTATCCGATCATGACAGGGAGCAAACGGCGGATGTGACCGGTCGGCAGGGGATGCTCACTCCTCCATGGCACCTGAACCTACCTCTCATGTTTTGGAGGTCCGTTTTTGCTCTGCTCGTGTTTTATATTGTTTTATGGACTTTTGATTTTGAATACTGTTCTTAATCTGCATATGTTTCATAAATCCTTTATCAACCAAGTATTAATTCATCCTCTTTAGCCTGTATACAATGACTTGATTTTAAAAACATTTTACGTGAATACCATCAAAATGCTTCAAAGCTTAATTCGTTAGAAAGAAGAAAATGGTTTATTTCAGTTTGTCGGAGAAGGAATACATACTAGTAATTCTTAAGATAATGTATTGTTTCTCTTTCTCTAGTTTGGAAATTCCTTTATTTTGGATTTGGATATCCACATCACTTAAGCAGGGATGCAGTTATAAAGCAGATGGCAGGTATGAATGTTTAATATTGATATGAAATTAAATACAGTAGATATTAATAGAATCACTATCTAGTTATTGGAGATCAGCGATAGTTGGAAACGTTTGCTAATTTGCGTAAAGCTTTTTTCTTATTTTTATGAAGTACTTCAATATATTGTTTTTAAATTATGGATTTTTAACCCAGGAATTCTTAATTTTATTTATGATTTAAAAATAGTTGCAAGAGAAAGTTAACGCTTCATTTTACTATGGTGTGCAATGTATCAATTGTGCAATTAAATCCCAGTCGTTCCCCTTGTGCGTTATATTTCTCTCCAGTTCTTAAAATGTATAAAAACAACTTTTAAACTAAAATTTAAAATAGAAGTAAATATAGATATTGATACTCTACAATCTACATGTAGCTCCTCTCTTAAATAATATTTATACTTGGAAAGGGGGTGTATAGTGATTGGGTGTTCGCCTATTACACTTTGGGGTACCAATGTCTTATCCTCAACTCTTTTTATACTACTGGATGACATTTTATGAGACGTTCACAGAATCTTTGTTACAACAGTACAATTGCACACTTTTTATTTCACTTTCTGATTGGGCACATGTTTTGTTTTTTCCATAGAAAAACATTGACACCTTATATTGAGGATGCCCATCTCATTGATTTTCCATATACCAATGAATAATATTTAATGATACTTTCACAGATTCTTTATTACATAATACTATTAATTGCACCTCCTATTTTACCTTTTGGTCTGACACTTATTTCTAGTCTTCCATAGCAAAACATGAACTTTGTCATTATAATCATACGAGAGGCAGGGTATTATTTTTAAAAAAAAATCTTTTGATCACGATACCTCTAGTTTACTGATCAAAATTTGTCCGTTGTAAGTTATATTCGTCATTGTCGGAAATTTTTCACATTTTCATCTTCTCAAAAATCAATGCGTCAGTTTCAACCAAACTTTCCCAAAATTATCCTTGGGTAAAGGAAATTCAATTTTTGTCCAAATGAAGGACCGTGACTTCTTCCAAGGGAAGACAATTATGATTCTGGGGGTAAAATTATGGCATCATTTAAAAACCCCTCTGCTTATGTGGAATCATTGTGGGGTAGTGAAGATTCAATATTGTTCAAATCATTATTTTCTGGGGTAGGGTAGGCCACAATTGGTGATCAAAGTTTTCATAGTAAAACATAAAAAAATTATTTTAAATTCTTTTTAAGAACAATAAACCCATGTTTGGTCATATGTACATGGAAGGATCCTAGTGTAGTGCACAATGGGGCATGTTGTATGGGGGATCAAAGCTTTAGTCTTTACGAAGGGATGCATAGGAAAAAGTTCTAAAAATCTCATACTCGAAAACAGCAAAATTGTGATTGTTTATACATATACATAGAAATTTATTCAAATCAAGACAACCGGGGAAAGGGTGAGACACAACGGGTGATCAAAGTTTTACATCTAGGAATACATAGAAAGAATTCCTTTAAAATCTTCTTAAGAACAGCAATGCATAGGAAAAAATCTTCCCAATAACAAAACCATGATTGCTTATAATCATATAAATGCATCCAAATGTTTTCAAATCATGAATCTTCAGGAGACTTTGAGGGGCCATAACAGGGGGTCACAGTTATACAAGGTAGTATAAAGGATATATCAATAAAAATTTCCATATCAAGTTTGCCCAAATCATACCACCAGTTAACTTTTATATTTAAACTTTTCAATACTCTATTGATTTCTCCTTTTCCTAGCCAAATTGCTCAGGTGAGCAATGTGGTCCCTGGGTCTCTTGTTATATTTTCTTCTTACAGATCTTTTTCCAAATGGTACGGATGATAAGTGCTCTTGTACTAAAGCGTTTGATTTACATTATGAGGGCATTACAGGTAAGATTATGTACACTTACATTAATAAGGAAGAGACTAAATACAACCATAAAATTAGCTCTAGAAGGGTATTGAAGCAAAATCACACAGTATTGTCAAACATTAAAGGCTACATTAATAAATTATTACCGAGGCCATCTTTAAAAAATAGTTTCTTTGCCCTCTCTCGATTGACTTACAATGACTCAACTGAAAACTCTTTTCAACTTCCAGCAAACTTTTTTTTTTCATTTCTTAGTTTTCTCATAGCATTAATAACCATTTTTACATCATACTCGCAACTGCTTTTTTTTTTAAAATAAAAGCATTTCCTCCAACCAATCGACCCAGTGAACCATTTATTTTTATCATGAGACGGAAGGGAACAATCAATTATCTATTTTGGAATTGTACAAATACACAGACTACAACTAAACAGATAGAGATGATTGCTCATGA